AAAAAATTTATTAAAGTAAAGAGAAAATAAAGAGAAAGTAACTAAGCTTATGTCCTGTCCGTTCGTTCACCATACAAATACGCTACAGTAAATTAAAACTATATTAAAACATTACTAAAAATTTTTTGCCCCCCCCCCCCTGAAGGTTAATCGATTTTTTTTGCCCCCCCTAGAAAGTTTTCTGCAGGCGCCCATGCCCAGGGCCCCGTGATTAACTTAGAAGAAAAAGGATTATAATTATGGTATTTGTTGAAGATTTTTATCGTATTCAAAAAATAATTTAAAACACATGTTTCCAGCAGGTTATTAAATTTAATCTAGAATATTCCAGAAAGCTCTAAATTGATCCACGGGGATATATAGTGGGATCTAAGGGATAATGAAATTTTAGTTAGTTCTATTCGTTTCTTTACTGTTCTCTCAGTAACACTGATAAATTTTTTTTATATGGAATCCCAACGGGGTCGGGATCCCATCATAATCTTTATCCCAAAGGGATCATGATCCCACCAGAAAATGAGATCCACCTGGATCGGGATCCCAACCTTGAATGGATCCACCAGGATCTGGATAAAACCGGGAAACGGGACTGCACGGGGATCAGTGTCAGAATGGGAATTAGGGTTCCAATGGGATCGGGGTCACACAATGATGGGGTCCTAATGCAATCCCGTGCAACACCAGGTATATTGGCTAGATATATATATATATATAATCTAAGTTTGTTTTAAATCACTACAAATATATAGGTGCATCATGTGTTAAAAACATTCATACCTTTCTCTTCCTTGGATTTTGCCTGTAATGAATAGTGAGACAGAAGCACAAAATTTTTAATTTTGAAACAAAGCAAATTAAATGTAAAGTGGATGTTTAGAGAAAGGTGCCTAGGGCACCTGCATCCTGTCAATGAACTTTGAATAGTAGTTTAAATCAGAAACCACCTCTCTTCTTCCAACCCGGAGACTGTAAATCGTATTCAACTAATGCAAAGATATTTCTTTAGTAACAACTTACAAACTGTGACTGGGTGTGCTTTTCTCTTTAAAATTTATGAATTCTCTCTCCAAAATTAAGTCTTTCTGCTCAAGCATTTTAAAAAAAAAAAATTGCTCTTTTGTATTAAGCTTTTAAATTTTATATCATTGAAATATCAGTTCAAACAGCCTTGGTTTTATTTAAAAATTTTAATGAGGTGACCTATTGAACAGTTCTAATCAAGAAAGCTTACTGTTGTTTTTAGTGAATGTGGAATTTCATGAAGACTATGTGAAGTTTTATCACATATAGAAACATATTGAGTCAATATAGAAGGAACAATATAGAAGGGATAGAATTCTTTTAAGAATATAAAACAGATATGCTAAAGAGCTATGCACTGAACATACTATTAAATCAATTTCAATCATTTGAGAATTGTAATGACAACACTTTTTTTTTGAAAACGTGAATGGAACCTGTGTATTAATCATATGGCTTCTTATTTATCTAATAATATTGAAAGATGTGGTAACCTGAAGCTGATTCATATTTTAATATTTTTATTCCGGTTTGTTTTATTGAACAAATAAAATTTCTGAACACATGAAAATTATGCAAAGTTATCATTTTTATTTCTTGGTTGATGATAAAAAGTTATTTTCAGTAATGCATATCTGCTACTTACATTTTTTCAACTTGAGATGGTGTTGAGATTTGAGGCCCTGAAGATGTTGCAGTACTTGACTTTGATGTAGACCGCAAACTTTCAAATTAGTTTAAAATGAATATTTACATTTTTTATGGCTCATTATGGTATTTAGTTTTTCATAAATTTTCACTTAATAAGTCCAAGCTCTCTCAAAATTAAGTTTTTTTGCTCAAATATTTTTTTAAAAAAATATTACTCTTTTGAAAACATGAATGGAACCTGTCTATTAATCATATGGCTTCTTATTTATCTTATAATATTGAAGGATGTGATAAGCTGAAGCTGATTCAAATTTCAATATTTTTATTCCGGTTTGTTTCATTGAAAATATAAAATGTCTAAACACATGAAAATTATGCAAAATATTAATTTGTATTTCTTGGTTGTTGATAAAAAGTTCTTTTTCAGTAATACATATCTGCTACTCACATTTTTTCAACTTGAGATGGTGTTGAGATATGAGGCCCTGAAGATGATGCAGTATTCGACTTTGATGTAGACTGCAAACTTTCAAATTAGTTTAAAATGAATATTTACATTTTTTATGGCTCATAATGGTATCTAGTTTTTCATCATTTTTCACTTCATCAGTGAGAAATTTTAGTCCAAATTTATGTGTCCCTATTTATTTCTATTCTCTACAAGCTGTAATCAGTAGTAATATTACAATTACCCACTTTGAAATTGCCCATTTGCTTCATTCTCCATTCATTCAATTCAGATGCAAATTTATTTTTTATATTGCTAAATAGTTGAAAATGAATGAATTCTGATGGTCTTAGGTAAATAAATCTAATTTTAAAAAAACAACTTTATCATCTAAGACTATTTTGTTTTTTTAGACAAACTTGTGTAATTATATAAAATACAATATGTAAAAATAAACTTCACTACATATAATAAAGTGAGACATTTCAAGGCAAGGTGAATGAACCTGTTGTTTTTTCTTCACATTATTGGAGCAAGTAAATAATGATTTTTTACTTGTTACATGTATAACTGGCAAAAATAATTACTTTATTGAAAAGTCCCTACTTATAAAAAAAATGGTCGAGCTGGGAGAGACAAGCCAACATTTATGTTCAATAAATCCTCAAGACTACCAAAATGAAATTTTTTTTAAACTTAGCTGTATGTTTTAGGCATCGCCTCTGATATGTACAATGCATTAATTCAAATGGGTAAAAATTAGTGAAAAACTATTAAAGGTTCCACTAAAATGATAACAGTGAGGTATTTTAGAAACTATAAATAATGGTAATTTTAAAAAATTGTATTTAACTCGGAATGAAATTTATTCAATTTTTGGGAAGTGAAGATGGAAGTAAATCGAGATGCTTTGTGTGTAGAGGACAATAATAGTCGAGTGAAACTCCTTAACTTAATGTTACAGTTTATATTTAATTTTGATGTAACTTTAACTTTACAACATATTATGGAAGTAAAATCTGAATTTTAAAAAACAAAAAAGCTTTTACAAATTTTGGAATGAGTGAGAGTGTTTTGTCTCAGCACATAGTATCATAAAAGCAACATAACCACACCCCCGCACCCCCAAAAAAAAACAAAAAACAAAGCTGTTTGCTTTATAACTGTAGAAACTCAATTGACTTAATTTAAAAACAAAGCTTATTCAAATATATCAAGTTTTGAACATGAAAAAATGTGTTACTATTTAAAAACATAGTTAATCTTCTAAAACAGGGGGTGACAACCTGCATGTTGCCCATCTTGATTAATATGGTGGCTAGAGGATGATGCCTTACAAAAAAACGTATTCCTTCTTCATTCCATTAATCGATTTTAAAAAAGTTTAATGAGATAACAGTTAAAAAAATATTACATGATTGTAGTTTAAATTTGTTTTGTTGCATTTAATTATGTGTATTTAGAATAGATAATAATTCTATGCAGCAATGAAAAGGTGTATAATTAAATTTTTAATAATTTCGGTATAATGACATGCAACTCCTGAAAGGTTAAACGCTCTCCAAGTGGGCTGTGAAGCCTTTTGGGTTGGCCACCCGTTCTAAAATAGCAACGGATCCACAAATTTAACTGGATGAACTCTTAATAAAAATGTACTATAAATTAAATATTTCTCATCAAGACATGAAAAAAATGGAGAAGTTGAAAATATAAAGCTGTTTACACCAAATTAAAAAAAACAGAAATGATTTTTTTTAGAGTTTTAATTTCAAGCTAAATATATGGTATTGGTGTATGGTATTTATGTTCCCATTATGTTGTGAAAGGAACATTAGATATTATTTTGCATCATATTTTTAATACTTACAACAATATATATTTATTAAAAATCGAACATTTCTAGGACCACCTTTACTATTAGTGCCACGTTGAAATGATATTGTGCCTTTTAAATTTAAAAAGCTCTCAATCTACACACAAATTACTGAGTTCACAAGGAGAATACATTTGATATGAAATTCTAAATAATTTATTTAAAAATTATTTTTGCTCATTTAACACAGATTTATTTCTTAAATTCAAAGTTTATGCCAACAAACACAATCTTACTTCGTTGATGTTGGAATCTGCTGCAGGCGGAATGAAGGTGGTAAAAGCAACGCATGGTTCGGAGTAGCCTGGATGCAAACAGATTAAAACAACAATGTAGGAGTACTTTTGCATTCAAAATACTTAAGGAATTTATTATTCATTCTAAAATTAATTTAATTTTCATCTCTGAGGATACTGTCAGATTCTCTCTTTTAAATATTTTGTTCCACATTTTTTTCCCCAGAAAGGTTTATATTTCTTTCTGCAATGTCCTGTGATACTTAGGGAGGTAGCTTCTAATATGGCTATGGTGATTTGTTCACTGACTTTTTCTGTGGTGTCATTTTGGGGGATGACACTCAGTAGTTCATCACTTCTTGCTTTATATAAATCACAGTTTGCTTGTTTTTTAAATTCCATCTTACTGCTGTTTTAAAAATTATTTTGATTTGGTGTTGTTAGTGTTGTGAGAATGTTTCTGTGATCGCAACCTATGCAGTCCAGCACCTCTGTAGTAAGTCTGAAGAGAGTATGGCTAGGTCAAGTCTGATCAGTTTGTTATAATTCTATGGAGTAGAGTGGGTGTTGACTCTTTGTTGTGCATATTGAATAGGTTTGTAGTGTTACAGAGTTCTTCTATTGCCTCTCCAGTGTTGTTGTAATTTTGGTATACCCCAATGAGGGGAGTGGCAGTTAAAATCACAGCCTATCACAGTCTTGGGGTATTGTATGTTCTCTGGGTGGACAAAATTTGTTGGGGGCTTGTATGTTTTAAAAGCCGTACATTTTTTGAATATCTGGTAGCTGATCTGTGGGGATTGCCTCAACTTCGCCTTGGATAGCATTTCTTATGTGGGTGATGATGCCTCTAAAGTTTTGGCACTTGCAAGTGTAATGAGTACAATCTGTGGTGTGTTGGTCTATTTTAGGGTTTAGTTTCTTGTAATATTACTATATGTACTTGTTTTATGTGCAGGTGGCGTGAGATCTCTACTTTTTTGTTTGGTACCCCACAAATGTTGATTTTCAGGATATTTAAATGCGTATTTGTGTCTGTTGAAGTAGTGGATTTTTCTAAGCCACCCTGGGTGTTGCAACGCAATGCAGGCCTTGATAGACAAGGGTTGGATGTATTTCTTTTTGTCTTCAACCCCCTTAATTCCCATGCCAAATCCAGAAGCTGCATACCGCATGTCTCCACATGGTGACCAAGTGCCGGGATTCCATGTTTACCAGACAGAAATCTTCAGTGCTCTGTCATCCCTCAGTCATGTTGTCAATGCAGGATTCACTATTTAGTCATTCCCTGACTCCTACTGTCTCCTGGCACTGCACTTTTCATTGTTGATTTAAGCCATTTTAGTAATATTGTGTCTGTGCAAGGATTTTCATGATCCTGGGGACAGAACCCACCAGACCTTGCCACCATAGTATTGTGGTATGTTCCACATCATGACTGGTCAATCGTATACATCCATGAGGATCCAACTTTAGGGTCAATTATGGGGGGGACCATTGAAAGAAGGAGGATTAAAGTCTTGGAGAGGATAACTACTCAAGGGAGAGTAGGGATGGGTTATTGTAACATGGCATGTTTTACACTTGGCCTCCTCCTAAGTGTTCACTTATACCGCTAGATGTTTGGTCCCACCTGATAGGTCTCTGTTAGAAACAGGGAGTACCAGTACGACACGAGCAGAAGTACTTTGGTTAATGTGCCCATTCAGACAAACTTAGGCAGAAGAGGCCTTATTTCTGGGTCTATAACTTTTAACATCATCTGCAGTCTATCTTTTAAATATTGATGTTTCAATGGCATTTTTTTCAGATTTGAGGGATTTTGCTTTTGCTCCAATAGCTGTTTACAAGATCGGGTATGGCTTTTTTCCTGCAGGGTCCAAATTGACCAGCATCTCTTTATGGTATTTATCTGGGCCTGGTGCTTTTCAAGGTTTCAGATCTTTTATTGCTGTGTTGAGCAGAGTCTGTTTAAAGATCTATTCAAAAATAGACAGTGCTTGAATAAGGAGGTCTCTCTTCAGCCTTTAGGTCATTTATTGGAGATCAGTCACCATCTGTCTTTTAGTTTGCCTTATTGATTGCAGCAATTTTTTTAATTTAAATTTCTGCTCTCTTTGATCTTACTCTTGGCTGACTTGATACCTGTTTTCATGTTGCTTATTGTCTGATTAAAATTATTTTGTTTTCAACAGTTTAATTATTTTCCCATCCATCCCCCGCACCAGAACATTTCCTGCGAGAATCAGCCTGATCAGACATCTGTGAACCCACAGACAATGTCAGCCCCAGCAACCAGCCAATGTTAAAAATAGTCATGATCCATTTTTGAAAGACTAGCTACCACAATGGATACCAGAAGACCAGGAAATGAGCAAACAAAATAGCAAAACAAGGACCATCCAATGAGCAACCAAACATACCTATATCATTCAGCACTGCCAAGTAGATTATCAGAACTAAAAAAAAACAAAATGGTTTAATGGATGGGCTATGGACTCAACAGGAAGATGTGTTTTCACATGCATAACACATCTTCCTGTTGAGTCGCATGCATGCCCAGTCCTGATCCCAAAGACTCAATAAATTGCCTCCAAAGAATTAAATAGGACCTAATCTTTCGCCTTCACACAGGACACACACAACTTAATTCCAAGCCGCATGAAACCAGATAAAGCACAAATGCGCCCTCTCTGCAGATATCCAAATGAGACAGTAACACATCACATCTTCCACTGCCAAGCACTTCAGGACTTACGCCTATACCATCTATCAAATACACCAGACTGCACCAATACCCTTTAAACAAACAAAGAGCAGCTGTGGAGAGTTTGTAAATTCTTCACCATTAATTAAAATTTCTTTCCGTCTGACCAGAAATATTTATGTTGTGGGACGGCAATGTAAGGTTTATGGTCCATAGGCCACCATTTGGGGAACTCTGCTATAGAGCGAGCACACATGTATTTTATAGAATCCCTAGGTTAATGTAACATACATGCATTTCAAACTTTCCTAAAAACTGCCTGAATGTCAAACTATGCTGGTAATTTTTATATATATAAAAAATAAGAAAAAGATAAGCCAGTTAATTTAACCTCTCTGTGGTAGTTGATAAACACAGTTAAGTAAAGCCTAAACTTACCTGTGAGAAAAATTCTTGCTTGATCATGAATTTCCTAATGACAAGAGAAGTATATTTAATCTACTCTTTCAAAGAATAAAATATTGTTTTAAAAAAATGGATTAGATGAATTACCAATGCTACTATGTCAGCCTATTTTAACATTTAGACCCTTCTGAATATTTTGAAAGGGGATGGTACAGAGACTGTGATAAATCTATATAAATGGAAGTGCTGCTGTTAGCAAGCTGTAGGAGAGCTACTTAGAGTTTCAAAATAGTGCCTACTGTGAAGATATAATTTTAAAATATAAAAATATGTTATATGGCTAGCTGGCGAACAAAAAAAAGCATCAAGGGCCAGATGTGAACCCTGGGCCAGATGTGGCCCGCAGGCCATTGTTTTTCCACCCCTGGTCAAGGCAAACATAACTGTAGTTTTGTCCTTTAGGTTACAGTTGCTGGAATAATGTTTTAAAAAAATTTCTTTCATTTACTATTTTCCCCAATGAAACTATGGTGAATGAACACATAGGAAAAGTTATTTATTTTCAGAGAGAAAATCGCAAATGGTTTGGTTTTGCTTTCATACCATTTGTGGTTGTCATTTTTTGGATAAGTAAACATGGATTGGATGATGATACCGTAAATGGAAATGAAAGAGACTATTCATATTATAAGAGTACATTTTAGTTAAATTATAGTATTGTTTCTGTTATAACTAGCCCTTCTCATTTTACTGGAATCGTGTTTAAAAACATAAACATGATTTTAGTACATTTCCAAATTTTAAAAATTAGGCGGCCATCCATAGGAAAGCTAGTCTGTTTCACAAAAAATTTGGATGTACCCATTGCTCATATCATTTAAAATAGCTAGCCTGAGAATTCTTTAACATGAAGTCCACAATTTAGAAAGCATGAATAAATATAAATGCCACTCACTCAACTTCTGTTAGAGTTGGTAGCTTTAAGTTTAACACATCATTACTTTCCTGCTGTTGAAAATATCAAATTTAATTTTTATTAAGACTTTGTATTTATGACATATGGATGTTGTTTAATAGTAAATAAACATATATGTATTTAAGATAATGAAGCTAGTGATGCCTGAAATTTTATATGACAATAGGGTGAATATCAATAGAATTGATTTTCTTAAAACTTTAATCACTTAGATAAGATCAGAGGACAGGTTGTACTTGTCTAAGATGAACAACCTCCATAATAAGAGATTAACATTATATAAATAAGAGATTAACATTATATAAATAAGAGATTGACACAAACATTCACCTTTCATATGTTGGAGAAAGTGATCTTGAAACAAAGCCCTACACATACACAAACTATTTTATTTCATAACATTATTTGAGATAAGTGCAATTCTCATGTTAAAATTTTTTTTTAATAGAGATTACCAGTATGTGTTTATATTTAAAAATCCATGAGAAATGTATTCCTCTGCTTTTATCAAATTTTTAACCATAAAAAATAATGAGTTTATACTCACTGATTCTCTCTTTAGTAAGATTCTCCTGAAAAACAGCCAAAATGCAACCAAAAATGATACAAACTTTCTTATTCAGTATAAAAGTCTTGTTTTCTATGCTTAGTTATATAAGCTGACTTTTGTACTCTATATATTTAGTTGTTAAGTTTTGTGTTTAGTTGGTATTTGCAAGGTTCTAGAGAAAATAGAACAAGGGACTTGACATTCCTAGTTAATCAGTAATAGCTTTTCGTACACTTTGCTTTTGAATAGATAAACCTTGCAATATTTACCGTATGGAATTATGTGTTTTAAGTTTTAATAAGTAGAAGAAAAATGTAAAACACTAAAACTATATACAGTGGAACTTGTATCACATGAATGTATGAGTGAAATCCTACCAAAAACCCTCCCAAGCAAACTAATATTTTTTTCACTTGTATGAGAGGAGCCAAAATGATCAATAAATTGATTGTGGGCCCTTAATATATAGAAGAAGAGAGTCCCTTAAGTAAACTCCCTAGTTTGAAGCAAACCTTAAATAAAATGCTTGCTAGTAGAAATACTGATATTACGGAACAAAAAAGTTATTATATTACATGAAATTACCTTTTACCCTTTCCTTTCTCATCGTGATCTGGCTCCTCTGGCATATCACATCGACTATTGGTATAGAATAGATAAAATAAGATGTAAAATTATTATTCTTCAGCTATTTCTCTACAAAATAAAATAAACTGTTCTTCAGTTTCAGGTATCTCTGATTTTTTTTCCCAGATTAATAGACCTGCATACAAATTGTGAGATCAGTAATCATAAGCATGTCCATAAGCATTGGATTTGGCTTTTTTTTAAAATCCATTTCATTTTTCTGTAATGGTAAGCATTTTGTTCAATAATGATATATATGATGAAGGGGCAAATTTAAAAAATATTTTAGGCAATTGAAACATTTCTGATGTGTATTAAAGTTAAAGTTATTGGTACGTAATTATCTAACTACAGAACCCACTGAATTGTTTAACACGCTATTTAAATTTTTCAATTATAAAATATTAATGTATTTCCATGTTCTTACTTGCACATGAGTTATTTCAAAATATAATTTAATTAATTATAATTCTTCATGGGATTTTTTTGTGCAAAATATTTAGCTAATCAGAAATCATGTTCAATGTGTCCTCCATGCTTCTCAACGACTTTAAGCTAATATGGGTATAGTTAAACTAAATTTGATGTGATTAAATCACACTTTACGAGATGTTCTCACTTTTATTGGCCCACCCTGTATTTCTATTTTCTTACTTGTACATGCTGTCAGGATTCATGAAGCAGTACCATAGCTTTGGTAAGAGGCTCTTATCTGTTGAACTTGGTAGGCGCCGCCACATGCGGCAATGATCACATTGTACCCACAACCAATCTGGTGAATTTTTGTTCCTGTTAAAAAATTGAATTTACTCTACTAATAAAGGTTTTGGCACTGTTCTTTATTAATTATTGGGACTCCTGTGAATAGGTGAGGAAATGTGTGCCAAATTTCTTTGAATTTTTGTTCAGTGAGTTTTCTAATTCATCATCCTTCTTAATGAACATACCCAAATGTTTCTATAATAATCTTTTAAATAAGAATTTGAGTTCTTAAAAAAAAACTTTTAATCATAGTAAAAAGTTTGAAGACATAAAATCTAAAATAAATTTTTGGATAGTTTAAATGAAATTTTGTGGCCCAGTGATTGAGACAAAGGTGTTAAATTAGTAAATAATTCTATGGCAATGGATCAACGTTGTATAGAAGAGAGAAAAAGAAAAGGGGGGGGAAGGATTCTGTATGGCTTAGTGTATAAATAAGTTGAAATTATCTGGTATTATTTCTAAAATAAATCTTTTATTATGTACACTTTTCTACAGACAAATCTCTGTTTCTTTTTTTAAACAGTTTTCTATTCCCTTTTCTTCTGTCAATTTTTGTATGCATTTTTATTTTCATATTTGTTTTTGCTGATGACATAGTTTTTAATAAACATTATAACCTACAATTTTTATTCTATGAAATCACTTAATCCTAGATTGCAATTTTTGCACAAATTTATTATAATAAGGCTCAAAATGGCACCATATTGGTAATCTACGGATGTTTAATTTATATGAATTTGAATAAATTGAGTTTATTAGCATTACTCACTTTTCAAGATCTTTATCTGGCTGATCCTGCTCCACACTTTTCAAGTACTGATTTAGCTTAACAGATAAGTTGAAGAAGACAGAGCTGTAAATATATCATGGTAATGTGTTAATTTCAAATATGTTAATGTAAGCAATCTTAATTAAGCTAGAAACTCTTCCTTTGTTGGTCTCTAAATTAATCTCATTACACCAAAGATGTAAAATATGGATTTCATTATATTATTCAGTCAAAGGGATGTGTAAATTGATCAACTACAAAACAGCACCCTCACTCTTTATAAATGGTAAGTGTAATGATTATTTGAACAATTTATAGTATTTTCATGGTTTTATTTTCTAAAAAAGTAGAATGAGTTAACATGTTTGGGAAAAGATGAAAAATGAAAGGATATAATATAAAAAGCAAATTTTAATGCTTGAATTAAGACCAAACAAATATTTAGAAATTATCAAATCCAGCCATCAGCAAATAAAAATGAATAACTTTTGTTTTTAAAATAAATTAGGAGCAATTTAACATGTAGAAACATTTAATCCTTTACTGGTATGTCCGAAAATGTATTTTCCTAAGAATTTTTAGTTGACATGTTAGTTGACTTATTTTTTTGTCTCTTCAAGCTTTGACATAACTTGTGCATTAAATAATATTCTCATATTTCACTCTTTAAAAATGGATCTAAGAATTCCTTTCATTTACCTAATTACATTATTCTGAATGTGAATTATAATAATTAGAAAGGTGGTAATATTTATTTACTTATACTTGTCATCTTTTACAAAATCTTGCTTGTTGTGTGTTGGGGTTAACATGTCCACTGTTGCAACACCTACCACATCAACACCACGGCCAGAGTTCTAAAGAAAGACAACAGTTGTTAGGAACTCCTTTTTTATTTAAAACAATTATTTATTAGAAGGGAAAGAAAAAATGTAAGCCTTTATCTGAAATGGAATAAAAGTGGGGGAAAAATATTAAGCTGACTTTTGGTTTAAAAAGTAAGTTTTTAAGTTAATTTGTGAGTGGGCAACAATCATCTTCACTTTGAGAAAGAAAAAAAACAAGTATATCAATTTTCTTTTCACCTTAGCAAAAAGTAGGCTCAGATTTTAAGAAAATAAATAATAAATACAGGTGGTGCTGGGTGGGGCAGTGGTGTAAACTGAGTTAATCTCATGTTTGTGTTCTGGAGTTAAATCCCCAGTCATCAAAAAAATCGCCAACACCCTGGATGGATGGGACTCAATAACCTTGGACTGCAACTCATCTAAGAGAAGGAAACTCTGAATTCAAACCTGGAGAAGGAGTCCCATTGGAGGATAACATTGATGCAATGAAGCATCAGAAAAATCCTGCGACACTAATGGTGTTAAGCTGTATCATCCACATATGGCCAGAAGCAATTTTCTGAACAATGCTTAAAAGAATAATCCCAGGCCTCTTGGATTTCGTCCTACAAAGTCTACACTATTGTCACATTGTGACAGATGCCAGCAAAAAATTAATATTAATTTAAATAATTTATTTAATAACAAAATTCCCCAGTTATATATAACTATCCCTTATTTTAAATTTAATTTAAAATTTCTCTGTGTTTAATAGTTATGTATTGAATTTTTACCTGTTTCTGACAGCCAACTTTTTCGTATCCCTTAATTAACCTGTTCCTGTGGTAAAGCATCATTCCATAATCCTTTGATCGGCCTTCTTCACAAGTAAAACCAAATGTAATTGCAACTGTCATGTTCTGAGGTTTTCAGAAGACAAAAAAATAATATTTAAAAAGGAATAAGTGTGTCCTTACGATTTATTGTACAATTATTTAATTGTTATAATTTATCTATAGTATAGATTAAAATACTGTAACACACTTCTACTCTGACATGGCGTGGGATGGTTATTTCTTATGCTGTGGGTTATGTCAGTAGTATGGTTACTTATATTAACACTTCAGGATGCCGACTCAGTCTTCTTCATTCTTTCACTTAATAATAAATAATCCTTGCATGAATGTAATTTCACATATATATCTATAGTATTCCATCATTAAGAAAGACACGTCCTCAGACTACTATAACTCAGCTCAACTGACTGTCTAATCTCACAGCTCTCGCGCTACTGACTGACTCTACTGCTCTGCGCTCAGCTCTCCTTATCTCAGTCAACTCATACTTCATTACCAACAAAGCGTGCAAAACAACCGCTCTGACAAAACATAATTTTACTCTCCAAAAACGTGGAGTTCACATTTGTTCTCAAAAATACAATCCACATTGATTGTCTCTCCCCGTGGAAAAACCTGGTGAACACACTCACTGTCC